ACCTGAGCCTCTAGCAACACACCTGACCTGCTCTACCTCACTGCCCAAGGGCACTTACCCAGGGGAAGTCCCAGGGTCAGGCTGGAGGGAAGCTCTCATTCTGCCCGCCCACCCTCCTGATCCTTGTTCTCTTGCCTGTGACCTGAGCCAGGACAGACTGGGAGGTGTGTAGGTGACACAGGGGAGGAGCCTCAGATGTGGGGGAGGAGTGGCTACTTGCCAACTAGTGTGGAAAAATTAAAATATTCTATCATTTGGCATTGTTAAACATTTTTTAAAAAACTTTTTTATTGAATGATAGTTAATTTACAATATTGTGTTAGTTTCAGGTGTACAGCAAACATATATATATATATTCAGAATATATATATGTGTGTATATTCATATATATATGTGTATCATATATACATATATGTATTCTTTTTCGAAAATTGTGAAACATTTTAACAACTCTGAGCCCAAGCTGGCAGGCAAAAAGCCCATCTTCACCTGTCTCTCCCTCCCTTGGATTCACACAGGGTAAAAGTGTACAAAGATCTTTCCAGGCACAGATGCCCCACTTCCATCCCTTTCCCCACCAAAATAAGACACTTTGGACTCTACCCTGGCTGAGGGGGGTGGTTATGTGAGGTGATGGACAGGGGATTTTGGAGCTAGCAATTAAGATACAAACTTGCTAATACAGACCCATCCAGATTCTAGCCTCACCAGCCACATATGAAAAGGTATGGTTTTTTGGCCCATTTCCACCATGGAGGATGGCCTGTGTCTCTGCCACCACCAGAACCCCTATAAGGACTTCCTCATCCTATGTGAGGATCCCTGCTAAGCCCCTAATGGCTCGCCAGTGAACCACACAGCAATGTCTCCCTTCAGGATCATTTCTGTCCCAGAACTCTCTGCACTCTCAGCTCTGGGGCACGCTATGCTGCCAGGATCCGTCACTCACTGCCCATTTTGTCCCTGGCCATCTGCTTTGTCCCACCCCGCAGTCAGCCTGCTGGGGCTCAGTCCTCCAGCTTCAGGGCTGCTCTCACTCCTGCCCCAGCACACTTCTCCATCACCTCCTGTGAGATGATCCTGCCCTTCTAAACCCTATAGCCTACCAGATGGGTTCTCAGGGCACTTACTAGGCTGCCTGAAAAAGTGTGCAATGTAGTTCACTCTGCCCTTACTCAGGTTTAGATACCCAACTTCTCTGCATGTTCCTACTTCGCTGGGGGTGCTCTGGTCTTTCCCTCTGGCTGTTTCCTTTTTCATCAGATTGTTCCCTGTGTACTCCTCCCTCTGTCTTTCCCTGCTTACCCTGCCCACTCCTGTCCTGACTTCTCCTGTTCCTTCTACTGGTTCTTGTTTCCTCTGCATGGTCCCCATTCTGACTCTTTCTTGGTCCTTCTGTTTACTGTTCCCTCTAAATGTTTCTTGTTATTTCTGAGTGTCCTCTGGTCTCTTTCCTGATGCCTCTGTTTATTGTTTCCTCTGATGGTCCTTTGTTTCATTGTTCCATGCCTCCTGTTTCTTCTTCCCTCCGACTGATCCCTGGTGCCCCTGACTGTCCTGTGTTCCCTTTGGCAGCTGTCTCTCTAGCTGATCCTTAGTCTGTGGCACCATTCTGGTTGTGCCCAGTCCATCTGGTTGCTCCCTGGTCCTGATGAGGCTTTCTCATTCCTTCTAGTTGACACAGACTGACTGCTCTTTGAGTCTTCTGACTTCTCTCTAGACTCAATTCTTTCCTGTCCCTTGGGCTTTCCTGGAATGCATTTCTAATATGCTGTCATCTGATGCTCCTGTGTCTAGCCCATGGACCACACTCTGTGGAGCACTGGTCTACCCGGCTCCTAGTCTAGGCTCTTGATCCTCAGTGTAGACTACTTCTGTGTGCTCCGTGCCACTGTACTTTCATCTTCTCCATCACTTGCATTATGTCTGACCTTCGGTTCCTTTGACTGTTTCTTGGGCAAGGTGAACAACTGCCCCAGTATGCCCAGGACTTTCCCTGTTTTAGCACTGAAGCCCCACATCCCAGGAAGCCCCTGTTGCCCTATCCCTCTAGAACTCTGGATGTTCCCTGGCTTCTGCAACTCTCTGTTAACCCCAGTGCCCACTAAATGGGGCTTCTGGCTTTGGGAATGGATACTAGGCCTTCCAGCTCTTCTCTAATCCCTCTAGTTGTTCACTAGTAAGTCAGGCTACTGTCCAATACCAGATACACTTTTGATGCCCACTGTGCTGTTCCCTAGTCCTCTGGTTAGGCCCCAGAACTTCTAGAGGACACCCAGCACAGCTTTGCTCTTCCCCAGCCTCCGGGACTGTTCCTTGTTGCTCCTGGTGCCCTTGGCTACTCCTCAGTTTTGGAGGCCCCTTTCTGTCCCTCCAACTGTCCCATGGGTCTGTCACTTCCCTGCTCCTCCAACCTGTTCTACAGCTTCAGCAGCTGGTACCAGCTTCCTCTGGCTGCTGCCTACTCCCAGGCTTGTCTTTCCCATTTCTCCCCATTTCCTGTCCCCCAGTACCTGTGCCTTTCCCCACCCCCCCAGATTTTCCGTCTGACCCCTGGTATCTCTTGAAGTGGCTTATCTGGCAGGCTTTTACCCAACACATCAAACCTTTTTGTTTTTTCCATCTAGCTGAGTCAGTTTCCTCATTCCTCTGGCTGGTCTCTGTTCCCTCTGGCTGCTATCTGATTCCTCTATCTCCTGGTCTCTCCTCCTATTTTGAAATCTTCCTGATTGTTCTCATACCTTCTGGCTCTTGAGTGCTCCCCACTATTACCACTTCTCCAGCTTAGACTACTGTTTCTTGGTCTCTTTGCTGCTCTCTGGCCTCTAGCTCTTGTTTTTCCATTGCCTCCGTTTGTTCCACTGCACTCCCACGTGTCTCCTGTGCCCCTTGGCTATCTTCTATCTGGAGTATGTGCACCATGGTCCCTCTAGATGTTCCCTGTGGCTATTCCCTATCTCTCTTTCTTTTACTGACCCCTCTTCCTGTTTTTTAGCTTCAGTCACTATTTCTTAGCCCAACTGGCTGTTCCTTACCCCCGGGGACATTTTTATTGGTTCTGTGGTATCTCTGCCCATTTCCTGCTTCTTGACATCTAATGAAAAAACTAAGAACTTAACAAATAAATATGTGAATAAATAACATTCACCAGGGTCTTTGTCATTTCCATCTCTTCTTGAAAAGGGGGCATAAGTCTATGGTTGGCAACAAAAACCTACTATATAGCACAGGGAACTCTGCTCAGTGTTTTGTGGGAGCCTGGATGGGAGGGTGGTTTGGGAGAGAATGGATACATGTATATGTATGGCTGAGTCCCTTCACTGCTCACCTGAAACTATCACAACATTGTTAATTGGCTATACCCCAATGCAAAAATGTTTTTTTGTGTTAAAAATATAAATTAAATAAAAAAATAAGTCTATGGTTGGGAAGGAAGACATGAGTCTTGTGCCTTGCAGAGACCAGAATCATTCATCCAGAAATCCCCACACATTGGCTGGGCAAGGGGCCATGTGCAGAAGGACTGGGGAGGACCACATTGCTGTGACCCTAGCTCGTGGGTCTGTGACTGATCTGATGGAGCAGAAACCAGACAAGAATAATTTTCCAGAGTCGAAGTGCCCTACTGTTAGGCAGCGGTTTGTTTATCATTCAATGTCCCTATACCTTTTGCTCAAAATATAACTTCAGTGACTTGGGCAAAAAGATTTAAATGTAAGAATTTCACCATAGCAGTTTTCATCACAATAGAAAACCTCGAATGCCCTAAGTTCACACACAGTGGACTGGTTAAATGATAGTTTATCTAAAGGATAAAAAGCTACTATGTTATGTATCACGTGAAGAAAAATATTTACTGTCTAGAAAATAATACTGAAGTGCCAAGTTAAAAAGGAAACAACAAAATACTACAATTTCATTTTTAAACTTGAGCTGTATCATGTATCTGTGTGTGGTATGTATGTACACTCTCAGCCCCACATGTGTATATCCACATACCCACATACATGCGCATACAAAGGGAAAAAACTGTAAGGAAATATAGCTAAATGTTAACAATGGTTAACTTTGACTAATGCTGAAATTACAAGTAATGTTTTATTTTCTTCTATTTGCTTACCTACATGTTCTAAATAATGAAATTATTAAGTAATAAATATTAAAATAAGTTTTAAAAGCTTAATGTTATTCTAATGACCACATGATCCTGAGCCCCTGTGACAACCAGCCTGTCCCCAGAGTTGACAGTAGACTCAGGACAGTTGGAAGGAGGGAGCTGTGGGGCAGGGTCTGGCTCCCTTGTTTACACAATTTCCAGGGAACTTTTAGTGGGAAAGCTGGTCTTGGCTGGAGTGTGGTGAGGGTAGAAGACACAGTCAGGAAACCTGGTACCAGTCCACTGCTGTCACACAAAATCCCAGGGGCCTGGGCAAGTCATGTACCTTCTCAGGCCACTTTATTCATCTTTGAGAGGAGGAGAAAGAACTAGAAGGGCCCTAGAAGCTGTGCTTACCCTACTATCCTGCCATCCTCTAAGCTCCAAAAAAGGGGACTTTTCTCCCAAGATCAGGATAGAGGGGGAGTCAGCAAATCCCCAAGGATCGGCTGAGTGTGTGCACAGAGCCAGTGGGTAGTGGAGGGTCTATGCTGGGCATCAGGGATAGTGTCTCCATGGCTGGGGCCAGTGGCCACCTCTAGCTGGATCTTACCCACAGACACTCTGCAGGGAGCTGCTTCCCCTTCCCCCAGGTTGTGCAGCTGACCTTCCATCCCACCTTTCCTCCATTGGCTGCATCATATTTTCCACTGAAACAGGAAGGGATCTGGATACAGGACACTAGCCACATGGTGCTCACCCTCAGCAGGGGGGTGGTGATTCATTTCAGGGGCAGCAAGTCTGGAATTTGCCCCTCCTGTCCCCGCCCTAAGTCCCTAGCAACAGGTCAGAGCCATCTCCTCACTGAATGAACTCCTGCCCCTGAAGCCCTCTCCCTCCTCACCTCACACATGCTGCCTTGTCCCTCTGCAGCCAGGTCTGGGGACCACTGGGGATACCTCTGGTTGGCTGGCATCTTCCTCAACCCTTGGGCTCTCTTGCTCACAATGCTGCTCTTCCTGGGACCCTGAGGCCAGGCTGATACGTGGACTCAATGTGAGCTTCTGAGGCTGGAAGGAAGATCCGGCAGCCTTCACTATGGGGTCTGGCCCAAGGGCTCCGCAGAGATTCCAAAAAACCTGGAAAGGCAGTGTCCATGTGGTCAATCATTCAGCATTCAACCCACAAGCATTTCCTGCGGGCACCAAAGAATAGTTAACACTGGATAGTGTGGAAAAGTTCAGTAACCAACACCTATGTAGAATGCGGACAAAACTCATGCAAAATGAATGAGAGTTTTAATTCCAGCTCTTCTGCATTCTAGCTAGAATCTAGGGAAGTCACTTTAGTCTGAGTTTTTTTCACTTTAAAACTGAGGATGAAAACACCCATCTCACAGGGCTCTTAGAGTTAAACGACATGATACTTCAAAAGCACTTGCTCCTATTTGGCACTGGGAAAACATCCCATTGATATTAAATATTGCTGTTATTATAAGGTGCAAGGAATGTTTTGTTAGTACTTCATTTAATTTTCAAACTCATCATATGAACTAGGTATTACTTTTTCCTATTATTCTCTTTACCATCAGATAGAGCTGTTTGTAACTATTAAGAAATTTGCCCCTGGTCAGGGAACTAAGATTCCACGAGCCACGTGGTTCAGCTATATAAAATAAAAGTTACCCCAAGATTGCTTGGACTAGGGGAAGGACAAGGATTCAAACCCAGGTCTGCCTAACTCCAAAGTATATTTTCTTTAACTACTGGGCCATATGGTATTCTATATGTGGAAGAATCACAATAAACATTATTTCTGTTTCTTGCTGCCTTTAAAGTGCTATGGCTGAAGGGTGGCCATATCACATATGCATAAACCAATATTCTGTATAATTCAGTATACATTCTGGGAAATTCAGAGAGTGCACTCTCTCTTGCCAAAGATGGAAACAGAAACTCTTTGTACCCTCTCCCCCAATTCCCACCTGGCCCTGAAAGTCAACATGTCTGCACAGGCTCCTAAATTGGTAACCTACACTGCTTGACAAAAACTATGTCCCAAATGGTGCTATCAACTGGTTTCCTTAGGCTCTTCAAATAATCACCAACACAGGCGACACAACCTCAATAGAAAATCAACTATTAATCTGTTTAATGGGTCCAACCTGACTTCCTGTAGGACTCCATAACTCACAGCCCATATATAGAGTCAGTGATGCCCATAAACCCCTCAAAAATAGACCATCACATACTAAATCAAAGGTCCTGAAATTACCAATGTTCATAGGTCCCAATCAATGACTCCTATAGGGCTCCTAAAACTGACCCCCAAAGACCTGAAATCCCAGGCTTGAAATGAATCTTTTACCACCTCAGTGTCCCAATCAATAACTCTCATGGACTGATCAATGACTTCAGATCTCCAACTCTTATAAAACCTCAAGAATTTCTACAGAGGTACCAATTACTTACCACATATATCTAATTATGTTTCTTCAATGATTTCCCAAGATTATCACTCACTGATTCAACATGAATGCAATCTATAGGCCCCAAATTATCTAATCTTCAATTCAGTTCAGTTCAGTTGCTCAGTCGTGTCCAACTCTTTGCGACCCCATGGACTGCAGCACGTCAGGCCTCCCTGTCCATCACCAACTCCCGGAGTCCACCCAAACCCATGTCCATTGAGTTGGTGATGCCATCCAACCATCTCATCCTCTGTCGTCCCCTTCTCCTCCTGCCCTCAATCTTTCCCAGCATCAGGGTTTTTTCCAAGGAGTCAGTTCTTTGCATCAGGTGGCCAAAATATTGGAGTTTCAGCTTCAACATCAGTCCTACCAATGAACACCCAGAACTGATCTCCTTTAGGATGGACTGGTTGGATCTCCCTGCAGTGCAAGGGGCACAGAAGCACGGCGGCTGTGACGGCGCAGAAGCATAGCTAAGAGGAGCTACCCCACGTCCAAGGTCAGGGGCGGAGGCCAAGAGGAGCTACCCCACGTTCCAGCATCAGGGTCTTTTCCAGAGTCAGTTCTTCCCATCAGGTGGCCAAAGTATTTGAGTTTCAGCTTCAGCATCAGTCCTTCCAGTGAATATTCAGGACTGATTTCCTTTAGGATGGACTGGTTGGATCTCCTTGCAGTCCAAGGGACTCTCAAGAGTCTTCTCCAACACCACAGTTCAAAAGCATCAATTCTTCATTGCTCAGCTTACTTTATAGGCAAACTCTCACATCCATACATGACTACTGGAAAAACCATAGCTTTGACTAGATGGACCTTTGTTGGCAAAGTAATGTCTCTGCTTTTTAATATGCTGTCTAGGTTGGTCATAGCTTTTCTTTTGAGTGAGAGAGTCAATTCCTATGCAGACTGATAAGAAGTCCGGGGTCCCCAAGGAGAAGAATGGGGCCTGGGGCTCTTGAAGCAGAGACAGGGATCTGGAATTCTCAAGGAGGAGGAAAGGACAAACATCATTCTTTCTCTACATTCCTTAGTCTTAGTCACATAAAACATTTTTTCTTTAAGTCTGAAACTGATGATTACACCACAAACAGCTCAGTTTAAACTCTGCACTAGTGATTATACAACAGCAGTGTATCCTGACTGAGGATAGTTTCTCCTTCCTGAAAACCTTCTGACTAATCCTGATATCTTAAGAGTGTAAATTATGGGACTGGGTTTGGTAGAATTTTCACAGACTTGAGACATTCTTTTGATTTATTGTAATAATTAAAAGTATATAACTCCCTTGCTAACACTTGTGAGGGGGTGACATTCTCCATCCCCCTTCTGATGTCTATGTCAGAAGCTTTCTCTGTCCCTTTTCTTACTTTAATAAAACTGCTACACAAAAGCTCTTAATCAATCAAGCCTGGTCCCTGGTCCTGAAGCTAAATCTTCGGAGATCATGAATCAGACATTGTTCACCATAAGCTATCACAAGAAGCACGCGTCTTTTAATTTCATGGCTGCAGTCACCATCTGCAGTGACTTTGGAGCCCCCCAAAATAAAGTCTGTCACTGTTTCCACTGTTTCCCCATCTATTTGCCATGAAGTGATGGGGCCAGATGCCATGATCTTAGTTTTCTGAATGTTGAGTTTTAAGCCAACTTTTTCACTCTCCTCTTTCACTTTCATCATGAGGCTCTTTAGTTCTTCTTCACTTTCTGCGATAAGGGTAATATCATTTGCATATCTAAGGTTATTGATATTTCTCCTGGCAATCTTGATTCCAGCTTGGGCTTCATCCAGCCCAGCATTTTGCATGATGAACTCTGCATATAAGTTAAATAAACAGGGTGACAATATACAGCCTTGACATACTCCTTTCCCTATTTGGAACCAGTCTGCTGTTCCATGTCCAGTTATAACTGTTGCTTCCTGACCTGCATACAGATTTCTCAGGAGGCAGGTCAGGTGGTCTGGTATTCCCATCTATTTAAGAATTTTCCACAGTTCGTGGTGATCCCCACAGTCAAAGGCTTTGGCATAGTTAATGAAGCAGAAGTAGATGTTTTTCTGGAACTCTCTCACTTTTTCAATGATCGAATGGATGTTGGGAGTTTGATCTCTGGTTCCTCTGCCTTTTCTAAATCCAGCTCAAACATCTGGAAGTTCTCGGTTCATGTACCGTTGAAGCCTGGATTGGAGGATTTTGAGTATTACTTTGCTAACGTGTGAGATGAATGTAATTGTGCAGTAGTTTGAATATTCTTTGGCACTGCCTTTCTTTGGGATTGGAATGAAAACTGACCTTTTCCAGTCCTGTGGCCACTGCTGAATTTTCCAGATTTGCTGGCATATTGAGTGCAGCACTTTCACAGCATCATCTTTTAGGATTTGAAATAGCTCAGCTGGAATTCCATCACCTCCACTAGCTTTGTTCATAGTGATACTTCCTAAGGCCCACTTGACTTTGCATTCCAGGATGTCTGGCTCTAGGTGAGTGATCACACCATTGTGATTACCTGGGTCGTGAAGATCTTTTCTGTATAGTTCTGTGTATTCTTGCCACCTCTTCTTAATTTCTTCTGCTTCTGTTAGGTCCATACCATTTTTGTCTTTTATTGTGCCCATTTTTGCATGAAATGTTCCCTTGGTATCTCTAATTTTCTTGAAGAGATCTCTAGTCTTTCCCATTCTATTGTTTTCCTCTATTTCTTTGCACTGATCACTGAGGAAGGCTTTCTTATCTCTCCTTGATATTCCTTGGAACTCTGCATTCAAATGGGTATATCTTTCCTTTTCTCCTTTGCTTTTCACTTCTCTTCTTTTCACAGCTATTTGTAAGGCCTTCTCAGACAGCCATTTCCCGCTGCTCCAGCGCCTACCATCTTGCTGAGGTTTCTCTGACCTTGGGCGTGGGGTATCTCCTCACAGCCGCTCCAGCGAAGCACATGGAACAGAATAGAGGACACAGATATCGCCTCCTACAAATACAGTCATGTAAATTTTTTTACAAAGGTACAAAAACAATTCAGTATCTTTTCATCAAATGGTGCTAGAGTAATTGGATATTCTCAAGCAAAAAACCAAACAACAACAAGAAAAAATAAAACAAACAAACAAGCAAAAAACCCAAATTAATCTCATTCTAATTGTTACACTGGGGTTTCCATAGTGGCTTAGCAGTGAAGAATCTGCCTGCAATGCAGGAGACGCTGGTTCAATCCCTGGGTAAGGAAGATCCCTTGAAGGATGGCATGGCAATCCACTCCAGTATTCTTGCCTGGAGAACCCCATGGACAGAGGAGCCCAGTGGGCTACAGTCCATAGGATTGCAAAGAGTTGGTCAGATATGACTGAAGCAATTGAGCACGAGAATGCATAAAAAATTAACCCCAAATGGATCATAGATTTATGTGTAAAATGTAAAACTGTTGGAAAAAAACAGAAGAGAGAATTGTCAGAACTTAGGGCTTAGTGAAGAGTTAACAGAAGAGAGAATTGTCAGAACTTAGGGCTTAGTGAAGAGTTCTTAGGTATGACACCAAAAACATGATTTTTTAAAAAGAAAAAAATA